CAACTCATATTTAGGGTTTGTGTGACTTATGTCTGACACTTTTTTTTTTGGTCATATATCGTAACCATAAAAGTTATGGGATTCAATCTGATGCCGAAAGCACATAGAAAAATTGACTAAATAAAAAGTTAGGATTTTATAAAAGAGCAATTCCCTGGTTTTCAATTATAATTATCAAAATAATAAAATATTCAACTCCTAGAATAAGGGTGATAAGCACCCTTTTATCGACTAATTACAAAGTGATCAAAAATTTAAAAATCTTAAATCTTAAAAAAGAAAAAACTTCCTAAGATAAATATAACAGTAATTAATTTTTAAAAATAATTAAATAATTATAATTAAATCATTCAAAACACTTCCTAAATCTTATATATCAAATCACGCCAAATGTGTTGCTTTTCTTTTCTTACCAAACAAATCGCATTCATACATGTTGCTTTATTGGGACTTTGATTTGATCATAATTTGTTATATTTTAAATTATTGCTTCTTTCAACAATTGGACAATACTTATTGGGACACAACTCTGGTTGAGTGGGAGCTTGCTCAATTAATGATTAAGACATGTGCAATGAGTCAACTGTAAGTGCTTCATTCTCTCTTGCTAGAAAAATATTCGTCCTCAAATCTTCTTTACCTTCACATATCTCAATCTCTTTAGGTATAAACAAAAATGGCAATTCTTCATCGATTATTGTAAATTGGATAATTATCGTAGACTGGATAATCATCATAAATCGGATAATTATTGTAAATTGGATAATCATCGTAAATTGGATAATCATCAGAAACTGGATTATAATTATAGACTTCAAAGTTAGGAATGTTGAGTTGCATCTCAATATCTTGAAAAATGGACTAAATTTCAGGTCATACCTCCCAACTTTGTCCTTGGTTTAGAATCCCTAAAGTATCGACATCCTCTCTTCGTCATCAAATGTGTCCTGTAATTCCATTCCTTTTTCAGATTGAATGGCCAACTTTGTCCACGCTAGTCGTCGCTCTAAATGTTTAATTTTCATGCTCTACGCAACAAGTTGTCGCTTCAAAATTTGGATTTTATCAGTATGGGCCCTCAAAAATTGTCGCTCCAAATCTTGAATTTTTCTGCTCTGCGCCTGCACAAATAGTCGCTCCAAAAATTAGATTTTCATACTCCGCGCCTCCATAAGTTGTCGTTTCAAATCCTAGATTCGCCTTCTGAGCTCTTCATTTTCTCTGTCAGGGTCTATCTGACGCGATTTTCTATCTTCTTTAGGAACGAATCCATGTCCCTTGCCTTCACGACTCCGCCATCGATGACCTCTATAATTCTGTTCAGCCACTGGTTGAAGGCAACCTAGTGCTCTGATATTGTAAGAACCTTCACCGCTAAATTAGCAATTTAAATAATTTAATTATGAGTTTAGGAAATAATTCCGTAATTAACTTTGGATAAATAGGAAAAGAGCAAAATAATTAATATTAAGCTACTTGTCAGAAGGAAAGTGTAAATACCAGGTATTTTACAATATAAATGGATACCAGAAAAATAACTCAAAAAATAGCAATAAAAATATGAATATTCCTATAAAAATATCTAAGTTAAGAATATCAAATTTTGCTATATAATGTCAGAACTAATGTAACACCCCGTGTGCACCCGGCGTATTAAACATACATATGGCAGTAGCGCAGCTAAAATAATACAGAAGCTAAGTTTTTCTTTTCAATTATGACGTCATCATTATTAACCAAGTTGATTACTTAATTCCTTTTCAATACACTGTCTGTATGTAAATTGCAATAAAGAACTAACTGAATAACCTCATGATATAAATGTGTATCTAATCACGGAAGTACAACACGTAGACCAGACAATATCCTGATATATTATACAACTCAAAACTAAATAAACCTAACATAGTCAATATGGCATAGACAACCTCCATGCTCACCAAATAAGGCAACATAGCCCAATCAATGTCTCAACATAAATAACCATATACTGATATAAAAGCATAATAAAATCCAACATGTCAGCACAACAACATGCATAGTCAACTCAACTCCAGCCTCCTGCCGCTAGAGATATCAACCCCCGGAGTACCTGAACCTGAAAATGTGCCCCAACACGGGGTGAGATCTCTAAAACGAAATCTTAGTAAGACAAGGGGTCCTCAAGGATCTCTCCACCACAAACTCACTTACATGTGCAATATAAGTTCAAAAATAGCATAATAATATTATTATTTCCAAAATCTGTGCAATGCGCATATATCCATGTCGTGTGTGTCATAATCCTACTGGCCAGAGAATAAACTTGTAGGGATTACATACGTCTACAACCTACAGTACAAGGAACACCGCTTGTACCTCACCCACAGAGTCACCATCTTGTATTTCTCCACATACTCAGGCTTACCGTCTAGGTGGTACATCACATGCATATCATAAGGCACTTTCACTTTACAGCTCAGTAGCATTTGAAATATTCATCACATAATTTCATAAAACACATCATGCATATAAACCATCCCTCCATGAGGTACGGTGGAACCAATAATGGGTGAAATCGAGGACACGAAAGCTTACTTCTCAAGCTAACCGTCCAATCAAGAGTCCACACTAGCCCAAGGTCACCAAACAACACAATCACAGTCTGTGTATGTCAATAATAATCATTAATATTCATAGCCCAAGGTTTCACTAAGTATTTAAGGCTTTCCAACTTGTTTTAAGTGATTTTAGGCTTAATCTACAGGAGGTATTCGAATACTCCTCGATGAGTATTCGAATACTATCCGAATACTTTCACTAAAGTATTCGAATACCACACAGCATCCAAATACTTTTCCCACGGTATCCGAATGCTACACAGTATCTGAATACATTTTCAATGGTAATTGAATACTTTTCTTCCCATAAAAGTATCCCAATACTCCTTCATGAGTATTCGAGTACCTGCTGCTGAGTATTCAAATAATCCACGAAAAGTATTCGAATACTTATTAGACAGAATGCAAAAATTCATTCTCAGCATAATTCCCATTTTAATGGCCCTCTCACGAATTGGAGTCCAATGACTCCCTAAACAGATGTTCATTTATACATTTTAGGCATAGTTCATCAACTTTTAACTCATATAATCAATTTTTTTTTCTTTTAATGGCTTAATCAATCTAAAATCGTGAATATTCAAAGGAGGTGATCATGGTTTACCTCAAGCTCCAAAAACAGCAGAACAAATGTTCTCTTGGAGCTCACAAATCAGCCCTAAGGATCAGACTACACAAGGCCACGAAGTGGTGATCAAAGCTTGGTCCTTTCTCTACCAAAATGGCACCTTGAAGCACCAAAGTGAATGAAACTAGCCTTCCCACTCACAACCACAAGGTCAGCAACTCTCTCACACTCAAAACATAGGCTGCAAACCAGAAATGCCTAGTTGATATGCGCCTAGCATATAAGGAAATCTGAGCCAAAAAGAGAAAGAATGTTGATGAAATCTTGAGAAAAAGAGCAAGAATCACTGTTAATTTGTCAAAATCTTAATCAAGGATTGAATACTGATTTTATGCTAATTTTGTAGGAAAAAGCAAACAAACTGGAGCAAAACGAGGATTTTTCAAAATCAAAATCCACGCTGGAAGCATGGAAGGAATTTTTCAGACAGAAGCGTTCACGCTTGAAGCGTGAATTTGACGCTGAGAGAGTCAGTTTGCGAATTCTCAGATCCCGTGTTTTGCAACGGGGCAATTTTGGAAAAGAAAAAGATTTAAAAATTAAGTTTTTGATTCAGCAATGAGATCTCTATCCAAATTAGAGATAAGATTAGATGATTTGTGATAAGATTGAATCAAGATACAATAAAGATTTGAAATTCTAATTTATCAATCAAATCTCCAAGGTTGTTACATGAAAAAAGGAAACAAAGTTTAAATCAAATACAAACTCTTGGATGGGCTCAATGCCGGTGGTTATAAATAAGAAGCTTGGGAGCACAACAAAGAAACGAATTCACGACTCGGAGCAAGCAGTAGAGGACTGAAGATCAAGAATTCTTCTCCATTCTTTCCAGTAATTATAGTTTTTATGCTTTCTTTTGAATATTTGTTTATGTCAGATATGATTATGTCTGGCTAAGTTCTTTTATTGTAGTTAGGGTCACAAACCCTATGTGAACCCTTGTTATGACGGATTGATTTAAATTATTTTACTCGTTTATATAAATTTCTTTATCTTACCTTGTGCGTATTTGTTATTTTCTTTATTAAACCTGATCAATTTGATAGTTGAAAATAGTTTGAGGGTTAGAACCTTAAATAGGGATATTGGGGTTTCTGATCTTGAAAGGAGATAAGATAACTATTGGTATGCATACTAGGGATAGATGTATATTTAATTGCAGATGTTCGAATTATTGTGTTCATTGCTTAATTTTCATGAGGGGTTACTAAGGGATTAGGATTCTAAGTGAGGTTAAAGGGTTAAGTTACCAAGGGATTGGGATTTAACTATTAATATATTGAGATCATAATTATCTGAGAAATTATATAAATAAGTATTTTGTATCAATCCAAAGTAATAAGTGGGGATAATAGGGAGAGTGTTCCCTAACTGCAATTCTTTCTCATATTTTCAAAACCAACTCCATTATTATTCTTCTTTTCATTCTTAAAAATACAAAAACTCAAAAATAAGCCTTTACTTTTATGGTTACTAAGATTCAATTTAATTTTCCCAACAAGAGATTAAGTTTTTCAACTTAAAGTGACTGATTATTTTAGTACTTGGTTTTCAATCCCTGAGGAGACGATCTTTCTTACTACTTTACTACTTATGCGAAACGGTATACTTGCCGGATAACATCAAGTTTTTGGCGCCGTTGCCGGGGATTGAAAATTTCAATATTACAAATAACCTTTGATCTTTGAGATTGAATTTTATTTTTATTTTTATTTTTATTATTCTTGTTTGCATTTTACAGGTGCTATTAACAAATTTTTCTGAGTTTTATGCGAGGTAGACTTCCATCTAAAGACTTTTTGCTTGATCCTGAAATTTCAAGGACTGAGAGGAGACTGAGGAAGGCAGCTAGGCAGATAATTTGGGAAGATTTGAAAAACGTACCTGCACAACCAAAACAAGAGATGGAAGGAAACAACAACGCTGATGGTGACATAGGCCACAATGCAATTAATCCACCCCCAAGATTGTTGGAAAGTATTCTAACACCAGTGTTCAATAGGCCAAACTCAAGCATAGTCAGGTCGACGGTGGAGGCAAACAATTTTGAGTTGAAACCATCATTGATTTCTTTGGTGGCAAGAGCTCAATATTCTGCTGCTGACGAGGAAGACCCTCATGAGTTCATAGATCGATTTCTGATGATCTGTGACACTACAAAGCACAATGGTGTGCCAGCTGATGCTATCAGGCTCCGACTATTTCCTTTTGCTGTTAAGGGAAGTGCTCTCAAATGGATAGAAAGGCAGCCAGCAATTAGTATCTCAACATGGGAAGATTTGTCAAACAAATTCTTTGCCCATTTCTTTTCTATGGAGAAATATAATCAGCTGGTGAATGCAATCACGAATTTCCGTCAATTTGAAGGAGAATCATTGTGTGCAACTTGGAATAGATTCCAAGAACTTATCCGGAAGTTTCCACAATGGAAAGGAGACAATGACAGAAAGGTAGCAATTTTCTTTAATGGCATTTCTCCTGAAACAAGGTTGGTGACTAATGGTGCAGCGGGAGGTTCTATTCGGCAGAGTACCTCAGAGCAAGCTCTCAATCTGATAAAGAAGTTGGCAAGAGATGAAAATGAGAGTGTTCCAGCCTCAGTAAAAAGAGGAGTGATAAAACAAGAAAACAATGACACTTTGCTCGCTGAACTGTTATCCAAAAAGATTAATAGTAAGTTTGACAGTTTGGAGCAGCAATTTCAAAAATTCCAAGTGTCTCATGTTCAATCAACTCCTCAGGAAGCTCACAAATCCAACGAATGCTCTAATTCGTTATCAGATGATTCACCTCAACAAGTACAGGTGAATGGAATATGGTATGACCAGCGGCCTCAGCCGTCAAACTTTCCAAGGAACAATAACTATGGTGCTGGAGGTGGTGGTGGAAATTTTCAGCGAAGAACTCAAGGAGCTGGCATGGATTACAAATCTAATAACTACCAGCAGCCTCCACAAATTCAAGCAAAGGAACCCTCTGAATTGGAAAAGCTAGTGGCACAGATGGCTCAACATTCAAATGCTTTCATGGAGGAACAAAGAGCCAACAACAAAAATACAAGTGCTTCCATAAAGAACCTGGAGAATCAGATAGGCCAACTTGCAAAGTAGGTTTCAGAAAGAATTCCGGGTACTTTTCCTAGTAATACAGTTATCAATCCAAAGGAAGATTGCATGGCTATTACCACTAGAAGTGGCAAAGTTGTAGCACCGCTTTCAAATCCAATTCTTGATCGTGTGGAAGACAAGGAACAAGCGGAGAAGCAGAAAGGAGCAGTTGAACCAGAGGCTGAAGTAATTGTGAAAGAAAAGGAGAAAGAAGCCGTCATTGAAAAGGAAAAACCATCTTTCTTTGATAAGAACTGCCCATTGACCCATGAATATATAATGGCTCAAGCACCTTACCCAGAAAGGTTCAAGAAAGAGGTTACTAACAAGCATTATGACAGGTTCTTAGACATCTTCAAGAAGTTGCACATCAATATTCCTTTTGCAGAAGCCTTAGCAAATATGCCTGGATATGCAAAATTCATGAAGGATCTGTTGAAGAAGAATAAACTGCAAGAATGCCAAACCGTTGAACTTACTGCAAAAAGTAGTGCATTCATTCAGCAGAAGATTCCAGCTAAGCTTCGTGATCCAGGTAGTTTTAATATTCCCATTACTATTGATGATATTGCCATTGGCAGAGCTATTTGTGATCTTGGGGCTAGTATCAACTTGATGCCTCTTTCTATTTATAAGGCACTGGGAATTGAAGAATTGAAACCCACAGAAGTTTCTCTTCAACTTGCTGATAGATCTGTGAGGAAACCTAACGGGATCATTGAAGATGTTCTTGTCAAAGTTGACAAGTTTATCTTTCCTGTTGATTTTGTGGTGTTGGATACAGGGGAAGGAAGTGATAAGCCTCTGCTTTTAGGTAGGCCCTTTTTGGCTACAGCCCGTGCTCTAATTGATGTTGAGCAGGGAATGATTAAATTACGGATGCATGATGAGGAACTCAATTACAATGTTTTTGAGGCAATGAAAAGACCAGCTGAGAATGATGATTGTTTTCAAGTTGAAGTGTTTCAAGAGCTCATAAGAATATGCGTCCACAAGAGATTGGTTATGAGTTGAGAGCCCGTGATCATGTTCCCTTTGAAGGCAAAGAAGTTGTTGTGGAAGAGCTTAAAGAAAAAGCTGATGATATAGAAGATAAGCCACCCAAGGTTGAGTTGAAAACTCTGCCTGATACTTTGAAATATGTATTCTTGGGGAATGAATAGACTTACCCTGTAATTGTCAATACGGCACTATCTCCTGGTCAAGAAGAGGAGCTTGTTGAAGTTCTAAAAGCTCATAAGACTGCCATAGGGTGGTCTATTTCTGATTTAAAGGGTATTAGTCCCTCTATTTGCACACACAAAATTCTTATGGCAGAAAACATCAAACCTTTTTGTTGATCAGATGCTGGAAAGACTGGCAGGCCATGCTTACTACTGCTTTTTAGATGGTTATTCAGGGTCCAATCAAATTCTAGTAGCTCCTGAAGACCAG